AGTTAAACACAGCAGTTGAACTAAAGCAGGAGAGCTTAAGCAGCAGGAAGACACATCAACAGCAAGAAACTCTACTGCACGCTGGACAGACTGCAAGGAAACGCCCTGGGAAACATCTCTTGCATACCTGAGTCCCACTCCGTGTACCTTTTATATAATACACCCCTCTTCTGCTCTTCATTTTACTATCCTCTGTTCACAAATCTCATTTCTTTACCCCTCTGCTCCACCCCAAAACTTGTACATCTCCCCCTCATTGCTATCATCTCCCTACTATTGCTTTCATCACCTCCCCAAAATGCCTCTTCCACTCCTCCTTCTCATTTTCCTCTCCTATGTTCCCAAAATCCATTCACTATATCCCTCTGCTCCTCCCAAACATTTGTATATTGTGCCCTCACTGCTTCCCTCACCCCTCTATGGCACCCACCACCTCCTCCTATTACTCCCGCTCTCCCACTGACCCCAACACCTCCACTAGTAGTTTCTCACGCTCCTGCACATCCCGCTCCCATGCCACCTTTCTCACCCTTCTCCTCCTCATAACCGCGGGGGACATCTCCCCGAATCCTGGCCCTCCACCACCTCCCGCACAAAACCCTCCCGCCTCCACGTCCTGCCGCAACCCCCGCAACTTAGTATCTGTCCCCCTGCTCCCCTAAAATCTCCCCCCCGTTTTCATGTGCACTCCTGAACGCCCGATCGGTGTGCAACAAGCTTACCGCCATCCACGACCTCTTTGTTTCCCGCTCCCTCAACCTCCTGGCGATTACGGAAACCTGGATCCAGCCCACTGACTCTACCTCCCCTGCTGCACTCTCCTACGGCGGTCTCACCTGGACCCACTCACCCAGGCCCAACGGTCGTAAAGGTGGTGGGGTTGGCCTGCTCCTGTCACCGCTGAGCACCTTCCGAGTCCTCCCAAACCCCCCCTCCCTATCCTTCTCCTCCTTCGAGGCCCACTGTGTCCGACTATTCTCCCCAACCCCCCTGAAGATTGCTGTGATATACCGGCCTCCTGGATCCATACCCCGCTTCCTGGAAGACTTCTCCTCCTGGCTACCCTTCTTCCTCTCCTCTGAGCTACCCACTATCATCCTTGGGGATTTCAACATCCCTGTCAACCTCGACAACCCGGACACAGCCCGTCTCCTCCACTTAACCTCCTCCTTTGCACTTGCACAGTGCATACAATCCACCACCCACTCCGACGGTAATATCCTTGATCTTGTCTTCTCCAACCGCTGCGCTCCCCACAACCTCACTAACACCCCCTTCCCTCTCTCTGACCACAACCTGATTACCTTCTCTATCTCCTCATCCTCCAATGCCTACCCTTCCAAATGTCACACTACTACCAGCCGTAACCTCCGCAACCTTAACCCTGCCTCCCTCCAATCCGCAGTTGATCAACTCCATGACCGCATCCTCCCCCTGTCCTGCCCCGACTTGGCTATGACCGCCTACAACAATGCGCTGTCAACAGCCCTTGACTCACTAGCGCCTTTAACCACACGCAACATCAGACCCCGACCGCTCCAGCCCTGGCAGACTGATCACACCAAAACCCTCAAACGACACAGTCGTGCCCTGGAGCGACTATGGCGCAAAACCAAATCCCAACAAGCCTTCACCCGATACAAATCTGCCTTCCACACACCTACACCTCCTCCCTCCATACTGCCAAACAAGCCTACTTCCTGACCCTCATCAAGGCCCTCTCCTCCAATCCTCGCCGACTCTTCTCCGCCTTCAACTCTCTACTCTCGCCACCCCCACCTCCACCCAGCACCTCACTCACTGCCCTTGAGATTGCCAATCACTTCAAAAACAAGATTGACAAAATTCGCAAGGACATTGCCGCAACTCACACGCCGTCTCAACCCGTCCCCTCTCACACAGCTACCCCCTCATCCCCCCTCCCCCTCGACATAACCCACAGGGACTTCGTCGCTGCTCAAACTCCCTCCAACCCCCTTCCCCCTCACTCAGCTACCCCCTCTACACCCCTCTCCCACGGCCCCACCACTGCTCTAACCTCCTCTCCCACCCCACCCTACATTCCTCATACTGAAGCTCCCCCAACACTCCGCACCTTTGACCTTACTACCATCGAAGAAGTCTCCAGGATCCTCTCTGATGCCCACCTCACCACCCCCCCCTGCCCCTTGACCCTATCCCCACACAACTCCTACGACCTCCCTCCCCCTCCATCCTACGCTCCCTCACCCACATCTTCAATCTCTCCCTCTCCTCCGGCACTTTCCCTTCCCCTCTGAAACATGCACACATCACCCCCATACTTAAAAAGCCCTCCCTGGACCCCAATGACCCGAACAACCTCAGACCCATCTCCCTGCTCCCATTTACATCTAAACTCCTTGAGCGCCTAGTCTACGCCCGCCTATGCTCTCACCTCAACGACAACAACCTCCTCGATCCCCTACAGTCCGGCTTCCGTCCCCTACACTCCACCGAAACTGCCTTACTCAAACTCTCCAACGACCTGCTAACCGCCAAAGCTAATGGCCACTATTCAGTGCTCCTACTCCTTGACCTCTCTGCGGCCTTTGACACAGTCGACCACCCCCTCCTCCTCAAAAAACTACACTCCCTCGGCCTCAGAGATTCTGCTCTCTCCTGGCTCTCATCCTACCTGTCACAACGCTCTTTCAGCGTTACCTATAATGCCACCACCTCCCTCTCACTCCCCCTCTCTGTTGGGGTCCCTCAAGGCTCTGTCCTCGGGCCCCTTCTCTTCTCCATCTACACCTCCTCCCTTGGCCGACTCATACACTCTCACGGCTTCAACTACCACCTCTATGCCGACGACACACAAATCTATCTCTCAACCCCCCACCTCACCCCCTCGGTCTCCGCCCGAATCACACACCTGTTGAGCGACATATCAGACTGGATGTCGCTCCACTTCCTTAAACTGAACCTCTCCAAAACCGAGTTTCTTGTCTTCCCTCCAGCCCGGACACCCCCCCCATTGACTTCTCCATCATGTCCAACAACGCCACCATCAAACCCGCCCCGCAGGCCAGAGTACTTGGTGTTATTTTGGACTCCAACCTATCCTTCCAGCCCCAAGTCCACTCTTTAACAAACTCGTGCAGACTCCACCTCCGCAACATCGCCAAAATCCGCACGTTCCTAACTCCAGAAACCACTAAACAGCTCATCCACTCCCTCATCATATCGCGACTCGACTACTGCAACTCCCTCCTCACTGGCCTGCCTCGCCGCTGGCTATCCCCGCTTCAGTCCATCCTGAATACGGCTGCCAGACTCATTCACCTTTCCAACTGCTCCATTTCCGCCACCCCCCCTCCCAATCCCTCCACTGGCCTCCACCCCCCTCTGCCAATCCCTCCACTGGCTTCCGATTGCGCAACGGATCAAATTCAAAATCCTAACGCTGACATACAAAGCTGTCCACCATACTGCCCCGAAAACTACTTCACTGACCTAATATCCAAGTACCGCCCAGCACGCACACTCCGCTCCTCACAAGACCTCCTTCTCTCTAGTTCCCTGGTCTCCTCCTCCCATGCCCGCCTCCAGGACTTCTCCAGGGTGTCACCCATCCTCTGGAACTCCCTGCCCCAACCCATCAGATTATCACCTACTCTCCTCTCCTTTAGGCGCACCCTGAAAACCCATCTCTTCAGGGAAGCCTACCCCGCCCCCTGCTAACTTGCCGACCTCCTCCACTCTTCCTACCACTCCATCCCCCACAGCTATCTCCTCCTGTGCCACCATCCCCTCCCTCCTAGATTGTAAGCTTGAAAGAGCAGGGCCCTCGATCCCCTCATGTTTTGCATTGTATTGGTATTGTTCTGTCACATGTTCTGTCCCCTTTGTAATGTACAGCGCTGAGCGAACTATTGGCGCTTTATAAATACTGTATAATAATAATAATAATAATAATTAACATATCCAAGGGTGGGAGAGGTCTGAGGTGTGAATGGTCATTAACATATCTTTTGTTTCCAAGGGTGGGAGAGGTCTGAGGTGTGAATTGGTCATTAACATATCCAAGGGTGGGAGAGGTCTGAGGTGTGAATGGTCATTAACATATCTTTTGTTTCCAAGGGTGGGAGAGGTCTGAGGTGTGAATGGTCATTACAATGTGTGACAAGCTTGGTAGGAACATCCTGTGTTCAGTGTTTTGTCCATCTGAGTACCTTGAAAATGCTTTGCATGCATTTTTCATGATGAAAAAAAGGCTCTGACCAGCATCGGGAACTGGAAGAGTTAAAAAAACAAATTTCAAACGCAAATGCTTATAAACACGATTTGTTGCATTTACAAGCATTTTGCGTTTGAAACACATCGACTGCTGAACGCAAGTTTTCTGCGTTCAAAAAAATGACTGTAAACTCAACTGCCTGTAAACGATGATGTGTACACGGACACATAGGGAAACATTAGGGAGAGTTCAGGGGCTGCTGAGGGGAAAAAAAAAAAAAAAAAAAAAAAAAAAAAAAAAAAAAAAAAAAAAAATCGCTGAACAGCTCCTAAACGTGAGTTTATCACCTGCAGTGTACATGAGCCCTAAATGTTATATCCAGTTATATTCTGTGTATTCAAGAAAGAATCCAGGACTTTTTTTTAAAGCAATTCACTGAGCTCCATTCAAAACATTGACTGTTTTGAACCCGTATGCTGGCAGTACTCGTACACAGATAGGAAGGTAGTCGTCAGGAGAGAAGGAGGGGGTTTTCTCAGTTAAAGTGGAGCTCCACTTGTTTACAACCTCCCGCCCTCCGCCATTCGCGGCCTCGGCTGTCAATCACCGGGTCCCGGCCGGCGATTCCCCACCAATACTCGGCAATCTCCGAGGATTTCCGACAGGGGAGAGACCTGTCTGTAAACAATACAGATCTCTCCCCTGTCAGCTCCAGCACACTGCTTTGTATGGCTTTGCACAGCAGAGGCATAAGAAGCAGTGTGCTTACAGTGAAACACACACAGCACACATAGTAAAACCAGTTAACCCCTTCCTGCCCAGTGCCATTAGTACAGTGTCAGTGCTTATTACTAGCACTGATCATTGTATTGGTGTCACTGGGAATGTCAGTGACACCAAGTCAGTTCCCTCCAGTGTCAGAATGTCCGCCACATTCCCGCTATAAGTCGCTGATCGCCGCCATTACTAGTAAAAAAAAATTTTTTAAAATTCCCATACATATATAAATATATACCGCCATTTGTAAACACTAACTTCCACGTAAACCAATTAATTTACACGTATTGGGATTTTTTTTTTTGTAGCAAAGACACGGCCTAAATTTATGACAACTTTTTTTTTTTTTCTACTGGATATGTTTTATAGTAAAAAGTCAAAAAGTATTGGGTTTTTTTCTCAAAATTGTCACTTTTTTTTGTTTATACAGCAAAAAATAAAATTGCACAGGAGATCAAATACCAAAAGAAAGCTCTATTTGTGGGTAAAAATGGATGTAAAGTTCATTTGGGTGCAGCGTTGCATGACCGCGCAATTGTCAGTTAAAGTAACGCATCGCCGTATCACCAAAAATGGTCTGGTCAGGAAGGGGGGGGGGGGGGGGGGGGGGTGGATAATCCTCTGGAGGGCAAGTGGCTAAAGCTGAACTCCAGCAAACTCAAAAGTTCTCCCATGCAGTGGGACTGTGTCCACATCCGTGACACATTTCCTGGCTACTAAATATTCCACCAACTGTTAGTGGGATTATAACAAAATGGAATAAACTGGGAACAACAGCCACTCAGCCACCAAGTGGTAGGCCACGTCACATGACAGGGGGCGGGGTCAGCGCATGCTGAAGCGCACAGTGCGCAGAAGTCACCAACTGTCTGCAGAGTCAATAGCTAAATACCTCCAAACTTGGTGAGGCCTTCAGATGAGCCCAACAACAGTGTGTAGAGAGCTTCATGGAATGGGTTTCCATGGCCGAGCAGCTGCATCCAAGCCTTCCATCACCAAGTGCAATGCAAAGCGTCGGATGCCGTGGTGTAAAGCACGCCACCACTGGATTCTAGAGCAGTGGAGACGTGTTCTCTGGAGTGACTAATCACGCTTCTCTGTCTGGCAATCCCATGGATGTGTCTGGGTTTGGTGGTGACCAGGAGAATGGTCCTTGCCTGACTGCATTGTTCCAAGTGTAAAGTTTGGTGGAGGGGGGATTATGGTGTGGGGGTGTTTTTCAGGGGGTGGGCTTGGCCCCCTAGTTCCAGAGAAGGGAACTCTTAAGGTGACATTTTGGACAATTTCATGCTCCCAACATTGTGGGAGGAGTTTGGGGATGGCCCCTTCCTGTTCCAACATGACTGCCCCCCAGTGCACAAAGCAAGGTCCATAAAGACATGGAGGAGCCAGTTTGGGGTGGAGGAACTTGACTGTCCTGCACAGAGTCCTGACCTCAACCCCATAGAACACCTTTGGGATGAATTAGAGTGGAGACTACGAGCCAGGCCTCCTCCCCCGACATCAGTGCCTGACCTGACAAATGTGCTTCTGGAAGAATGGTCCAACCTTCCCATAGACACCCTCCTAAACCTTGTGGACGGCCTTCCCAGAAGAGTTGAAGCTGTTATAGCTGCAAAGGGCGGGGCCAACTCAATATTGAACCCTATGGACCAAGATTGGGGGGCCATTAAAGGTCATGTGTGTGGAAAGGGCAGGGCCAACTCAATATTGGACCATACGGACTAAGACTGGGAGCCATTAAAGGTCATGTGTGTGGAAAGGGCGGGGCCAACTCAATACTGAACCCTACGGACTAAGACTGGGGGGCCATTAAAGGTCATGTGTGTGGAAAGGGCGGGGCTAACTCAATATTGAACCCTACGGACTACGACTGGGAGGCCATTAAAGGTCATGTGTGTGGAAAGGGCGGGGCCAACTCAATATTGAACCCTACGGACTAAGACTGGGGGGCCATTAAAGGTTGTGTGTGGAAAGAGCGGGGCCAACTCAATATTGAACCCTACGGACTAAGACTGGGGGGCCATTAAAGTTGCGTGGAAAGGCTGGCCGATCAATACTTTTGGCAATTAGTGAACCTATGAGGTTCGATTACAGAGAGTTGGAAAACCATCCCAATCATTATCTCATTGATCACTCATCCACAATTTTCATCAAATCATTTAAAGATCTGTCCAATATGCAGGCGGCCAATGTAGAGAACAACTCGCCATTGTCCTATTCCTCCGGCTGACGTCACCCCGTAAACACTCTGCATTCACTATCAGTACTTTGAACCCGATTACTGAGACACCATGTGAATCATTAATCAGGGGTCATAAACGTGACACAGACACAAAGAAAGCAATCATCCCGAGCCCCCCCTCATATAGGTAAATGGACGGGTGGTGGGTAGAGACCAGGGGCGGACTGACCATTTGGAAACTCGGGCACTGCCTGAGGGCCCGGGGTCAGTAGGGGGCCCCATGAGATGCCCCGGTACCTTTTTCATAGGCTTTTTTGAGTTTGGGCAAGGACACAGGGGCCCCATGATCCCCTATTGCCCGGGGGCCCCATGAGTTGTCAGTCCGCCCCTGGTAGAGACATCATGGCACACCAGTGCTATGAGAAGATTCCCGGCACCCAAAGTAAAAAGGCCAAAGCGCACCCTTCCCATGAACTGCTTCAACGGCATAGGGTGATGGTTCTGACTTTTCTGAGCCCCCCTCCTGCTCAAGGCAAAAAGGCCAAAGTGCCCCCCTACCCCTCGGCCCAGCACTGTAACACACAGACAGGGCTGCTCCACAGAGGACCCCAGTGACAGAATTCCAGATGTGACCCCCATTAATAAAAGTCTACAGGACAAATCTGTCATCCAAAGAGAGGTCAATGCAACGGCTGACAAGACAGAGACGATGCGGGAACAGCTTTCACTTTCTGAAATGTGTATATCCAAAATATTTAGGATAGAGTAGGGAGGGGTTAGTTGCTAGGCTAGTTTTTTCTCCTGCCCAATGGGGAGACTTCCCTTCACTTCCTGTCCCAGTGACACAATAGGAAGTAAAAATAATTCTCCCAAAGAGCAGGAAATTCCCCACTACGACAGTAGTCCCTGGAACCACATTGAAAGATTTTCCCTCACTTCCTGTTTTAGGGGACAATTGTAAAAGGTTTGCTTTCCCCTCCACCTTCTTTCTCAATGACAATATTCACCGGGGGGGCCAGCTGGTGATGTCATCAGGTGACCCCACCCCTTAGTTTCTTTAGCAGCGGGAGGCGGTGAAGCGGTCAGTCAGCAGGAGCCTGCCTTAGGTGCAGAGCTCTTTTTTTTCAGGTCGGCTACATTCATTTTGATTTGATGCTGGATTGACTTCGGGGGAACATGTTTTTGTTTTTTTCAATAAAGGACTTGTCAAAAACTCAGCGTTTTTACTTATTCTTGACAGTTTTTGTAAATGAGTAGGGGTACAATGTACCACAATCATTCACATGGGAGGGCCAGAATGTGGGGGGGCACCTTGTTAAAGGGGGCTTCTCAATCCCAATAAGCCTCCCACCCACAGACCCCCATAACCACCACCCAGGGTTGTGAGGAGGAGGCCCTTTGCCCCATCAACATTGAGACAAAGTGCTTTGGGATGGGAGCCCCCCTGCCCCAAAGCATCCCCCCCATGTTGAGGGCATGTGGCCGGTTATGGTTCAGGAGGGGGGAGGTACTCACTCGTGTTCCCCCCTCCCCTGGTCTAAGAGGCTGCATGCTCGGATAAGGGTCTGGTATGGATTTTGTGGGAACCCCATGCAATTTTTTTTTTTTTTTTTATTTGAATGAAGCTCCGAAGGGTCTGGAATGAATTGGGGGGGACCCCATGACCTTTGTTCTTGTTTTTTATTTTGGCATGGGGTTCTGAAGGGCCCGGTATGAATTGGGGGAACCCCCACTCTGTTTTTTCTCACATAATTGACAGGACTTCTTTTGTTTGCACTCCCTGGCTGATTGCTGATGAGCCATCCGTTGTGAAGGACGCGGTGGCTGGCTTGCCGGCCCTCTTAACAGCCAGCTATTCACTAGATGTTAAAGCGAAGCTTCACCCAAAAGGCCAAAAGGGGAAGTTCTGCTCTAAGGCTTCGTCCCCCACTCCCCGTTAAGGATTGACACCTTTGGGGAGCAGGTACCCGATTGTTGTTGGTGACCTGGGGGGGGGGGGGGGCAAGGAATTCCCTTCATTTACAGGAATTTCCTCTCACTTCCTGTTTGGCTATGAGACAGGAAGTGAAGGGAAATCTCTGCAGTGGGACACAGATGGTGAAAACAAATCTGACTATAAGATCACCTGGCAAGTGTTCTAACCCTTCTCCATTCTATCCAATACTAACAAACATTGTGCCTGGAGATACATTGTATCTGTCTGTGATAATTGGCGGGTAAACTGAAGGAACATAAAAAGATACATTTCCAAATGTTACTTTTTATTTCTGGAACACCCTGAATATTCCTCCCCAGCAGAGGGGTGAAGCCCACCATCCTCTATCTTCACAAATCAGGGCCTGGCTCCTTACATCGTTCAGTCTTTTCAGTGGCAAGATTAAAGCGTATTCCTCTATTCCCGGCACCGCTCTGCCAACCAAGGACTCTCACTCATCTATTCCCGGCACCGTTCTGCCAACCAAGGACTCTCACTCATCTATTCCCGGCACCGTTCTGCCAACCAAGGACTCTCACTTCTCTATACCCCGGCACCGCTCTGCCAACCATGGACTCTCACTCATCTATTCCCGGCACCGTTCTGCCAACCAAGGACTCTCACTCATCTATTCCCGGCACCGTTCTGCCAACCATGGACTCTCACTTCTCTATTCCCGGCACCGTTCTGCCAACCAAGGACTCTCACTCATCTATTCCCGGCACCGCTCTGCCAACCATGGACTCTCACTCATCTATTCCCGGCACCGTTCTGCCAACCAAGGACTCTCACTTCCTTATTCCCGGCACCGCTCTGCCAACCAAGGACTCTCACTTCCTTATTCCCGGCACCGCTCTGCCAACCATGGACTCTCACTCATCTATTCCCGGCACCGTTCTGCCAACCAAGGACTCTCACTCATCTATTCCCGGCACCGTTCTGCCAACCAAGGACTCTCACTTCTCTATTCCCGGCACCGCTCTGCCAACCATGGACTCTCACTCATCTATTCCCGGCACCGTTCTGCCAACCAAGGACTCTCACTCATCTATTCCCGGCACCGTTCTGCCAACCATGGACTCTCACTTCTCTATTCCCGGCACCGTTCTGCCAACCAAGGACTCTCACTCATCTATTCCCGGCACCGCTCTGCCAACCATGGACTCTCACTCATCTATTCCCGGCACCGTTCTGCCAACCAAGGACTCTCACTTCCTTATTCCCGGCACCGCTCTGCCAACCATGGACTCTCACTCATCTATTCCCGGCACCGTTCTGCCAACCATGGACTCTCACTCTCTATTCCCGGCACCGCTCTGCCAACCATGGACTCTCACTCTCTATTCGCGGCACCGCTCTGCCAACCATGGACTCTCACTCATCTATTCCCGGCACCGTTCTGCCAACCATGGACTCTCACTCTCTATTCCCGGCACCGTTCTGCCAACCATGGACACTCACTCCTCTATTCGCGGCACCGTTCTGCCAACCATGGACTCTCACACCTCTATTCCTGGTACCGTTCTGCCAACCATGGACACTCACTCTCTATTCCTGGTACCACACTGCCAACCATGCACTCTCACTCCTCTATTTCCGTCACTGCTCTGCCAACCATGGATTCTCACACCTCTATTCCCGGCACCGCTCTGCCAACCATGGACTCTCATTCCTCTATTCCTGGCACCACACTGCCAGCCATGGACTCTCACTCCTCTATTTCCGTCACTGCTCTGCCAACCATGGACTCTCACTCCTCTATTCCCGGCACTGCTCTGCCAACCATGGACTCTCACGCCTCTATTCCTGGTACCACACTGCCAGCCATGGACTCTCACTCTCTATTCCCGGCACCGCTCTGCCAACCATGGACTCTCACTCCTCTATTCCTGGCACCGTTCTGCCAACCATGGACTCTCACTCTCTGTTCCCGGCACCGCTCTGCCAACCATGGACTCTCACTCCTCCATTCCTGGTACCACACTGCCAGCCATGGACTCTCACTCCTCCATTCCTGGTACCACACTGCCAGCCATGGACTCCTCCTGCTGAACTCTAACCAACATAAAGAACATGAAAAATCCAATAGAAAGTTTACATTCGAAACTCCAAAAACTAAGTATCTTTAGTCCTTAGATGTGGGGTTTTCCTTTAATTTCACTTGATAGTCCTGCCATTATACTGGGTGACAACGCTCACTCATTGCACTGTATCTGGATGATTATCATTGCCACCCTAGCGCAGGACTACAAAACACATCCCCCTCTCTTCATCTCCATAACATATACCATAAGGAAGGGGGGGGGGGTTGCTGTTCACAGAAAAAAAAGCTGAAAACAATAGAAGGCTTTATACAGAAAGGCTCTGACACCGTTCTGCATGCAGCCTGCATTTGGTGTGGCGCCTACATCTGCCCACAGGCAGCCTATAGAGATGGATGCATACACAAAATCTGATATGCATGCAGGAGCGGGCGCGGGGATCGGAAAGGCACGCTGTATGCGTTCGGATTTGTACACCCACTCCTACACGCATGTCAAATGTTTACATGCAACTGTGAATAGGACGCCACTTTGTCTCTTGCGGATTCTACACCAGGCATGTAGGGCTTTGTGTAGATATGTTTTTGTACATTTGCGCACTTTGAAGAGAATTCTGATTTCTTTTTATTTTACTGCTGTGAGGTGGACGACTGTTATAAGGCTGCGTCTGACCTGCTCTGTGTCTCGGAACATCACGTCTCAGGCAAAGCCGGTCATACACAACTCACGGTGGGCTCTGTTCACACACACGGATTTCAGCAGCACTGACCTGCAAAGTTCATCAATAAAGGACCACAATGAATACAAGTGATAGACGGACCTGGAGAGGTCCCCACTGAACACCAGGAGAGAGGACACACCTTCATAACAAACCAAGGTCTTCTATACGGTGACCCCAATAGAACAATGTTCCTCCAACACCCCTAGAGGATGTGAGGGGAATATAGACTGGGTGGTGTGGGGAGTGTACTGGCGGGGCGTAGGCGGCGTGGGGAGTGTACTGGCGGGGCGTAGGCGGCGTGGGGAGTGTACTGGCGGGGCGTAGGGAGTGTACTGGCGGGGCGTAGGCGGCGTGGGGAGTGTACTGGCGGGGCGTAGGCGGCGTGGGGAGTGTACTGGCGGGGCGTAGGCGGCGTACTGACGGGGCGTAGGCGGCGTGGAGGGTGTACTGACGGGGCGTAGGCGGCGTGGAGGGTGTACTGACGGGGCGTAGGCGGCGTGGAGGGTGTACTGACGGGGCGTAGGCGGCGTGGAGGGTGTACTGACGGGGGGTATGGTGGTATGGAGGGTATACCGACGGGGCGTAGGCGGTATGGAGGGTATACTGACGGGGCGTAGGCGGTATGGAGGGTAT